TCCCAGCAGGGAGCCACGCCAAACAGAGATGACTGGCCTGCCCTCACTATGCCAGCCTTCACAGACCCCACCCTAGAAAATGGAGGCAGCTTTGTTGTGGGCGCCCAGCCTGGTGTGATGGGCGGGGGCCAGGCGGGCGGGGAGTAGTCGGGCTTCGCCCCACAAGTGGGACTTTGCTGGGGGTGACTCACAGAGGTCACAGGGTGGGCCGGTCCGGGGTGCTTCAGTCCGCCTCTGCGTAGTCTTCCGCTGGCTTTCCCGGCCTTTGCCGTCTGGGCCGCTAATTTGTTCCCGCAGCCGGGCCTGGGCGCCCCCAGGAGTCCTTCTCTGTGTCAGCCCCAAAACTTCGAACCCGCTGCCGTTTGTCGATGTAGGATCATTGTTGAAAGAATTATTCGTCCTTTGTTGCTCTTGGAAATGCAGTCAATACTCTGGTACCACAGCACACAGCTCTCAGGATCGCGCTGTTTCCTGACGCAGCCGCTCCAGACCCGTCGCCATCTTTGTATCTTCTGTATCTCTCTTTTTAGGTCTAATAGTGTTTGCTTTATATATCTGGGTGCTCCAATATTGGGCAACATATTTATGACTGTTATATCCTCTTGCTGGACAGATCCCTTTATCATATGATGACCTTACTTGTCTCTTTTTACAGTTTTTGTTTTAAAGTCTATTTTATCCAATAGAAGACTACCTACTCCTGTTCATTTTTGGCTTCCATTTGTGTGGTATATCTTTTTCCTTCCCTTAACTATTAGTCTGTGTGTGTAAGGTGAGGTAATCATTTTTAGGTAGCATATAGCTGGGTCCAGTTTTTTAATCTATTCAGCCAGTCTATGTCTTTTGAGTGGGGAATTCAATCCATTTACATTTAGAGTTGACTATTTGTTCTTGTTAATAGTCAAAACTGGAAACCTAAATATCCATCATCTAATGAATGAATCAATCAAATGCAGTATATCTACACAATGGAATATTATTTGGTACAAAAAAAATTAAGTACTGATATGTGCTACAACATGAATGAATCTTTTTTTTTTTTTGACTGAGAAGGCCATCGCAACCCTCGGCACAGTGTGGTCTGCACCACGCTCAGCCAGTGTGCACACCAGCCATCCCTTTATAGGATCTGAACCTGCGGCCTCGGCGCCACCAGCACCGCACTCTCCTGAGTGAGCCATGGGGCTGGCCCACATGAATGAATCTTAAAAACATATAAGTAAAAAAAAAAAAAGATGCAAAAACCACATACTGCATAATACTATTCATGAGAAATATTCAGAGTTGGCAAATCCAGAGAGACAGAAAGATTAGTACTTACTGAGGCTGAAGTGGGTAGTGGGTGGTGGGTGGTGGGTGGGAAAGAGAGCAGAAATGAGGACTATTAATGTATAGTTTCTTTTTGGGATGTTGAAAATGTTCTAAAATTAGATTGTGGTGATGGTTACAAAACTCAATGTACAACACTAAACAACATATGGATGAATTTTATGGTATGTGAAATATCTCAATATCCCAATAAATACCTAAACAAATATCTCAATAAAACTATTAAAAAATATACTTACCAGTAAGAGTCTGATTCCTGTATCCAGGCTTCTGTTCCACCATAAGTCTGTGCCAGACATCAACAAGGGCACTGCCGATACAATGACTGTCTCCAATAAAGCACTTTCTGTATTCTGCCATATCTGCAGTATACAAATTATCCACTTTTATTAGGTAGAATCTGATAATCTAAGCAAATTGTGAGAGTTAAATAAAATCACAATTAAACTTAGCACTAGGAAAATACTATAAAGTACATATTAGGATTACCATTCTAAAAGCTCTTGTGAATCCAATGGAGACAGACACAGAGTGCAGCCCTTCTAAGCAACTGTCCAATGAAAGAAATGCTATCATAGCAAAAGGTGACACTAAACAAAACAAGAGATAGATATAATCAAGGCAAAGTAACTCTTTCTACAATATTTTCTGTCAAATATGAATTTTTTTAGATAGCACATTTAAGAAACTAACTAAAAAACAAATGAGCAAAAGCTAAAACATAAAAGAACAAACACTTGTATGCAGCATACCACAAAAATATAGGAATTCCACTAATACTTTTGAACACTTCCTAGATATGGTTTATAACACAAGTTTAGCAGATTTTATCTTCCTACCTAAAGTTAACAAAATCCGTCTGACAACACCAATCTTCATGAGCCTTGTTTGCTTCTCTAAGAATACAGTCACAGTCTGTATATCTTTTGGATAGAAAGGGTTTTGGAAAATCCCAAAGATATAGACGCTTTGAATTTCTCTAAGTATCCACAGTATTATAAGTAGTATCATCAAAATATAGCCAACGATAGCCTGGGAACTGTTTTTGGAAACCTGTGAGAAACCAGCAAAGTGATGTAGCAAACTAGTTTCTAAGAGAGCGAAGACTAATACAATGATGTAGAAAAGGCATTCCTTCCATGTAAACTGTTTTTCTGAACCACTGGGTAACATTCTAGATTTGTTTCCAACTCTGTGTCTGGTCACACTGTGTTTGAAGACAAAACCCATGTCACTTAAGTTAAGACTCTGTAAGAATCCAAGTCCACTCATGAAAAGAACCACACCAACAGTGCTGGGAATGAAATATGATGTTATAGCTGTTCCAGTAGAAATGACAAACATTACTAATAACCTGCAAAAGAAAAAAAAAAAGATTTACTTGAAAAGAAAAATGTTCTTTAAGAATTAGTTACATATAACATCAGGATTTTAAAAAAGTTACCGTAGGTGGGTTGACATAGATGATCCTCCAAGGCCAAACTGTAAAACTTGCTCCATTGCCCATAAGAAAAGTGCATCAGGTGGGGGCAGAGTCCCAAGTGCCCACAGAAAGGGCAAAAATATAAACAAGATGTGTAAAATCTGATTGATTTGTTCTAGAGCTGGTATATTTACCATAAATCTATAAAAAAAAGAAAACATTTAAATCATACAAATTAATATATAGATGAGGATCTCTCCAGGAAAAACAAACACCACACAGTAACATACACTCCAAAACAAAAGAACACTTACAGAAAGGTCCTAGTCCCAAATCACAAATGATCAACACATATAAATTGTGACCATTGTCCTTCCCTTATGCCAACAACTACCCCTATCTCATTGTATACAAACTTAGCATTTAGAGAATATATGGATTCAAATGTGCAACGAGGGATGAAGTAATTAAAAGTTATCATCAAAGAGTAATAAAATTGAACGCAGGGATTTATAAAACCGAACTGAGGCCAGAGCAGAAATATTTCTTCCCTAAATGTCTAAACTACATTGGTTGAAGTTCCACCAATGATTCTTTAGAGTTTAAAACTTTATAATTTAAAATTTCAAGTAACTTTGGGAAAGCCAAAGCCTTACTGACGCTCATACAATAGCAGCTAACAAAGAGAAAGCTCGTCTTTTCCTACTCTCTTGTACTGTCCTGCTCCCAGGTCCCAGAATTTAAAGTCAGTAGACTTAATATCATAAATCAACAACTTAGGTTATGACTGTTATCTCTGTGGGTTACCTAGAAGTTAACTAGCATTTATAATACTTTCTATTTTGTATAAGCAATAGTATGGATTTGAGAATACAAACTTGTACAATACAATCTCCTCATAAAGTAGGAACTATCTCTTCCTTAAGTGGAGAAACTGATACTTCTTATAGCACTTACCAGTTAAATATAATGCCATTAAACTGTTTCAAATAATAAAAATTTAAAGCATAAGAGGATAAACATTACCAATATATAGTCATCTCTCAATATTCACAGGGGATTGGTTCTAGGACCTCCCACAGATACCAAAATCCATGGATGCTCAAGTCCCTGATATAAAATGGCATATTATTTGTGTACAACCTATACACATCCTTCAGCATACTTTACATCATCTCTAGATTATATATAATACCTAATACAATGTAAATGCTATGTAAATAATTGTTATACCACATTGCTTAGGGAATAATGACAAGGAAAATAAGTCTGTACATGTTCAGTACAGACCCAACCATCCTCTCCTCTCTCCCCCCACCAAATATTTTCCTTCCATAGTTGGCTGAATCTACGGATTGAGAACCACAGATATGGAAGGCTGACTGTCTTCCTGAAGTTTTGGAATAAGGCTAACCAAACATCATATCCAGAAACCAACAAAGTCAGAGTACTCATGGAGTTCTAAAGGTAGCTTTCAAAAATGGAAACTATATCTCAAAACTTACAGCATAATTGTACCTGAATACCTGAGCTGGTAGGAATCAAAGTCAAGGAGAAAGAGAACTTTTGCAATAACTACCCACTTAAATGTATGGTGATAGCCCAGAAACAAATGTATAGCAACTATGGATATAATATGACATAGTGTGTTTGCTCACACAGATACCAGGACTATGCCAGTGCATTAGTACTCTGCCTCATAATGTATATACTTCACATTTATATAAACAGAGGATTAATAAACACAAGGTTAACAATGTGATGCTAAGTTAGAGAACAATACTTTCTGTAATGTAGTTGGCAAATAAAATTTATTTCATTCTGAGAAGAAAACGTTCAAGTGAAAAAGAAAATCAAACCACACACAAGTCAGAGGAATGTCAATGACAACACTCCTCTTGCAAACATACTCAAAGGTAGGATAATTTGCATAAAAATAATGCACACTGGGCAAACATTTTACCGAAATTAGATTCTACCCCTAGATTCTACCCCTAAATCTATTTTTGTTCTCAAATGATGCAATGGCACAGTATTTATGTAAAAAGATATCGTAAATAGATATAAGTTCACATAACTTAAGTAATCAAACATTGTGATTATTCTCCCGTCCCAAATAGATAATTATTGCCATTAATTCTTTTATGTGGAAAAATGTTTAAATTCTAATATTTCTGACAATGTAACAGGAATTTTCTAGGATAAAAAAATCTCAGCCCTTAAGAAAAAAATTTTGTTTTGAACCTAACAACCAATAAAAATATTTCAAAATCTGCCCATTTTCTAAGATCCACATGCCAAGAAAAAAAAATGTTTTTTATGGTAGCTAAGACAATGTAAATGAGCAGCACTCATTCAAACAATTACTGAGTCTCTTACCTAAGCATTGAAGATTTAATGCTTGTCTTTGATAAGATAAACATGCACAGAAAAAGTCATTTAAAAACTATTATTAGACACTCTACTGGGTAGAATAAAGAATCGGAAAAGAGAAAAGATTGCTACACTGTGGGGCTCATCTCTTCAGCTTTCTTTTACATCCTCCGAAATAAAACTAAGAAATAATTTGATATATCTGACAACTGTCCAAATTTGAAGAGCACACGCATTCCATACATCACTTAGTTACATTATCACACCTGCTGTATAAAGATCATCTCAATTCTTTATTATTTTGTTAATCACAAGCTAAAATTTTCTAGAAGTGAAATGGGAGGTAATTTTCCTGCATAAACCTGTTGATTTCTTCTTTAAAAATGGATATGGGGGGCCGGCCCGGTGGCGCACTGCTACAGTGTGCCGCTTGGGAAGTGCGGTGGCGCTCCCGCCAAGGGTTCGGATCCCACATACAGACCGGCCGCTCACTGGCTGAGCGAGGTGCGGGTGCAACACCGAGGGTTGCGATCCCGTTGCCGGTCCCGGTCCGGTACGGGCGCGACACTGAGGGTTGCGATCCGTTGCCGGTCATGAAAAAAGACAAAAAGGAAAAAAAAAATGGATATGGGGACTGCCTTTGTCTTTTCTTTTAGTCATAGTAAAAACAAAAAGTATCTTTATAATGATCAAACTTTGAACATTAAAACTGTATATTAAATCCAACAAAAATTTAGTAAAAAACTTTTTATGCACTTTCATTTAGAAATGAGCAATGCAAAAAATCAAGGTAACCAAATTAAAACTTAACTGATATATTTTGAAAAATTAAAGAACCTAGGACATCATTTTAAATGCTAAGGTGTATTACAGCAGAAATAAAATTTCTGACTTCAGAAATGGCATAATAAGATAGTAACTCAAGAACTTATATTCTGAAAATAATCTTAAATCTTTTAAAAGACATCATATGTATGCAGACATTTAAACTCAATTTTACTGTTAACTTTTCAAAATCAAGCATTTAACTGCAATATATTTTACAGTTAATAAATGGAAATAGTATTAAGAAACCAATTATAAATCAATTTCCCATTGGTTACTTCTCCTCTTTCATATTTAATTAGATAAAGAACTACATGGGTATTATATTGTCCACTGGTCCATAAATGTAGCATGAGTAGAAGAGATTAAGAATTAAGGAATAGCAAATCAGATAATCATGAAAAGGTCAGTTTCAGTATACAAACTGAACATTTTTAAATGCCTTATCAGCCCATAAAAAAATGCCATAGACTAGGTGCTTAAACAGCAGAAATTTATTTTCTCACAATTCTGGAGGCTGGAAGATCAGGCTCCAGCATGGTCAGGTTCTGGTAAGGAAGGGCTCTCTTCCTGGCTTAAAGTTGGTCACCTTCTTGCTGTGTCCTCACATGGTAAAGTGAGAGAGATCAAGCTCTCCGGTGTCTCTTTTTATAGGGGCACTAATGCCACCAGGCCAGGGCCCAGGCTTCATGACCTAATTATCTCCCAATGTCCCCATCTTCAAATTTGTCACATTGGGGTTTAGGGATTCAACATAAGAATTTGAAGGGGGGGGGCATGCTGTAATCCATAACATTCTTTCCCTGGCCACCCAAAATTCATGTCCTTCTCTCATGCAGAATATATTCCATCCCAACAGCCCTAAAAGTCTTAACTTATTCCAGCATTAACTCTAGAGTCTAAAGTCCAAAGTCTCATCTAAGCATCATCTAAATAAGATATGCTAACACTGGAAGTACAATACATCCTGAGGCAAAATTCCTTTCTAGCTGTGAACCTGTGAAAACAAACAAGTTACGTGCTTCCAAAATACAATTGTGGGACAGGCACAGGAAAGACATTCTTACTCCAAAAGGGAAAAACAGGAAAAAAGGAAGGGGTGATGGATCCCAAGGAAGTCCAAAACACAGCAAGGCAAATTCCATTAGCTCTTAAAGTTTGAGGATAATTCTCTTTAGCTCTTTAAGCCCCTTCAGCTTTGAGAAGAGTCACCCCCACAGCTCTAGGCAGGGGTCCTGCTCCTGTGACTCTCAAGAGCAGTGCTCCCAAGGTTTTGGGCAGAGGTTGTCTGGCCTGTTGAAACTGAGGTGGTGCCCTGATGCTCTCTGAGTCATCTTTGGCATTGTTCTCCCTTTTTAAAAAGAATAGTGCACAGTCACAGCTGAATAGTTCTATCATCCCATCCTGCCGAACCCAAGAAGTCCAACAGCCTTCCTTCATTTCATCCATCTCCATCCCTTTCAATTCAGAATGGCAGTGTTTCTCCTCACATGCTCCTTATTGAGTGATAGTCCAGCCACATCCTTGATGTTCTGTTCAGAACATGCTTTCACATGGTTCACAATATGGATAGGCTGAGAATTTTCCACATCTTCAAGTTCTTCAACTGTTTCAGTTCAACAATTCCTTCTTCAACTCTCTCCTTTTGCATTTTATTATAAGCAGTTATTATAATAACTATTTATTATAATAGTTACCAAGCTATTTCTTCAACACTGCTTCAAAATCTCCTTACCTAAATTTCCAATTTTATCATTCAAGTTCTACCTTCCACAAACACTAGAACACAGTTCAGCCAAGTTCTTTGACACTTTATAACAAGGACTGCCTTTCCTCCAGTTTCCAATAAAATGTTCCTAATTTCCATCTGAGACCTCATCAGAATCACCCTTAACATCCAGATTTCTAGCATGCATGTCAAAACTCTTCTAGCCTCTATTCACTACCTAGTTACAAAAACACTTCTGCATTTTTATGTATTTATTACAGGAGAAGTGGGATCACCTCTTGGTACCAAAATCTTGGCTTGGGCTGCCATAACAAAAAACCATAGACAGTGTGGCTTAAAACAACAGAAATTTATTTTCTCACAGTATGGAGGCTGGGTCCAAGATCATGATCCTGTCAGTATGGTCAGGTTCTGGTGAGGGCTCTTAAGGCTTCTTGCTGTGTTCTTACAAGGCAGAGAGAGAGATCAAGTGTCTCTGGTGTCTCTTTTTATAAGGGCATTAACCCCATCAGACCAGGGCTACACTTTATGACCTAATTAACTCCCAATGGCCTCATCTCCAAATATCATCTCAGTGTGGTTTAGACTACAATATATGAATTTTGGGGGAACACCAACATTCAGTCCATAACATGCCTGTACATTTCTATCTGGACACTAACCTGGGAAAGAGAAAGAAAGCTGCAATCTATAGAAACAGAGAAATAAGTCAGATTTAGAAAACGCAAGCAAAGGGGGTTATCAAAAAATTTTGTAAACAATTGTTAAAACTATTTTCTATTTTTTTCTGGAACAAATTGATTTTAAAAATTAATATTCTTTCTATATATTGCTACTATAAAAAATTAGAAATAAGCTTTCACCTTAAATTCACTCGATCTGTACATATTTATGTATATAACTTTTAAATTCTTCATTTTACCCCACAGGAAAGTTCCATCTCTTTTCATAGGTTTCAGCTAGGCTATCTTATAGACTTAGAGCTCCTTATTTAAAGTACAACAGAGGATTGAAAAACTGCTTATTTAATTCATCTTAAAAAGGGTTTTTAAACACTCAATCAGATCAAACTACTACTTTAGTATGAATGTTTTACAGAGATTAGTTCTAAAATATTAATCATCAAAACAACCTATCACCCAATGGTTTGGTCTTCATGATTTTTAATCCAGAGATTCATTTAAAAAAAAAAAAATACTAAAATGAGCTCTTTTACCATGTACACTTAAAAACAAACCACATTATAAAGCATTTGGTAGGTTTTTACCTGTGTGCAAGATCCACAGAAACAAATAAAAAAATATAAAGAGGTCTCATAAGAGGAGTGATTTCATAAGTATCCTGGGTTTGGAAAGCTGCAGTCTCTATAGCAGTGTTTACAATTAATGAATATTCTCCTATACATAATGTCATCCATCCAAAGACAAATAGTAGAACAGTGCCTCCTGTACTGCCATACAGCAAGGTTATTCTATTTGGGAGCAGATACCATGTTCCAAGACCACACACTAACCCAGCAAGAACAGAATGAAAAACTATATTGACTATATATTTCTTGCCAGGAATTAGAAATTTGACAGTCTCAGCACCAGCACAACTTGTAAATTCATGCTCATCTTCCTCTGCTAAGATATTTGTGGTTAGCATTCTTTCCACTGTCACTGATTTGTTTCTGGCATACAAACTTGTGAACTGGATGACAAATGCAGTGAAAAGCATTAGTCCACCTGAAAGTGCTGCTGCATAATAGTCTTTCAGGACGCCTAATTGGTACAAAAGTGTTCCTATTCCACCTAAAACCCATGGCATCAGAAAAAGGATAATTTGATTAACATATATGTAAGGTGGAGCACAATAGCCTAATTTGAGTCGAGGGCCTCCAAGAACAGTCTGTGGAAAGCGCTTCAGAAAGAAGTCCTGTTTGTAATCATTCAGCAGAGGAACATCTGGACTCATCCTTCTCAGGATTATTCTGAAAGTCACATCCTTTTCTTTAACACAGCAGTCTCTAAGAAAAAGGGGAAAAAAAGGCACTATTTAAAAATGTCACAATTAAAACCTGGGGAACCCACCCCCTGCTTTGATTTTATTTCCTTAGTTTCTTCAAGAGCAGGATTTATAACTTCACTTCCCAGGCTCTTTATCCCTCGACATGTACTTGGAACTAAGTCATTGATTTTTTTAAACAAAATAAATATGCTATGTTAGTTTTAAAAATCATATTCTTTATTAATTTACCTACAACTTAATATTGGAAATTAGATCTTAACTCACAGTTTTACATTTTGAGGTCAAAGGAAAATTCAAAAGGCCAGTCAGTACTCTCAACTCAAATCTGCCAGTAGTTAAACTAGTCATTTTCTAGTGAGTTTTCATAGTTTGCTTTTTAACTTTTTCCTTTATTACAAGGGTCAGAAAACTTTTTCTACAAAGGGCCAGACAATAAATAGTTTAAGCTTTGTGGACCATACAGTCTCTGTTATAATGACTCAACTCCGCTGTTACAGCACAAAAACAGCCATAGACAAAACAATAGATAAATGGATGTTAGTGGTTGTGTTCCAATAAAACTTTACATACAGTCAACCCTCTGTATCTACGGGTTCCTCATACATGGATTCAACCAACCACCGATCAAAAACAGGGGAAAAAAATGGCATCTCTACTGAACATGTACAGACTTTTTATTCTTGTCATTATTCTTTAAACAATACAGTATATAACAGCTATTTATATAGGATTTACATTGTATGAGGTATTATAAGTGATCTATAAATAACTTAAAATACTCAAGAGGATATGCATAGGTTAAACACAAACACTAAACCATTTTATATCAGGGAACTGAGGGAGGTCCTGGAACCAATATCACATGGATACTGGGGGACAACTGTATTTACCCAAATGGACTATGGGCCAGATTTAGTATATGGACCATAGTTTGCCTACCCCTTCTCTATAAAATAAGAATATTCTCTACAATTTCCTTGAATTGAAATGGAAATGGAAGTGGGAAAGTGGAAATATTGTTATTCATATTACTTAATTATATTAAAGATTTTCCAATAATTTAAAAATTCAAATACTGCTAAAATAAGTAGCATTTCAATAAAAATCCATATGGCCATTGGCAACTCAACATGTAGTAGGAAGAACAATGAACTGGAAATTAAAAGACTTAGGTGCCATTATTATTATTATTTTTTTTTTTTAAAGATGACCGGTAAGGGGATCTTAACCCTTGACTTGGTGTTGTCAGCACCACGCTCACCCAGTGAGCAAACCAGCCATCCCTATATGGGATCCGAACCCGGGGCCTTGGTGTTATCAGCACCACACTCTCCTGAGTGAGCCACGGGCTGGCCAAGGTGCCATCATTATTAGCTATGTTATTATGGTAACATGGGCAAGCCACTTAATAATTCATTTTTCAGTCTCGCTGTTGTCAGTTTCTAGAATCTGATAGAATTTTAGAAGCATGAAATAATAGGTCCTGTATATGCTCTAGTCTATTTCCATATAAGGACCACAACAATCTAAGTATCAAATAACATGGATTCTCTTCAGTTCCACTTTTCTGTATACTCAGCAGCTTATTCTGAAAAACAGTTGCTTGACACAACATCAGCTAGCAAAGTATTACCTCAGCAGATCATATGTTGGGCTAGAAAAGAAAAATTAAACTTAAAAGCCATCTTAACATAGCCTTCCTTCCAGTCAGTGTAAACCATCTCTGCCAGTCAATTCTACCCAACCAATATCAGCCCTGGAGAGAGTTTTGGGGCTTCAAGAAAGTTTTGGGGGTCACCTTTAAGAATTAGTACCTTAAGAGCAGCTCTGTTATACTCTTAGGAAGTTTTTTAAACTGTAAACTTGTATCTTATCTTCCAGAAATTGGTCTTAATTCTGTACAGAAAAAATCACAGCTTTCTCTCACATGACAGCCTGCAAACACTCACATAATAATGGAACTCCAGGGCCAAATGGAGCTTTATTGGTCTATGGTTTAATCTCAGGGAATGAAAAGATTGCCTCCCTCCCTCTGTTTAAGCTTTTCTCCTTCACTGAGGTCAGGCTCGTGTACTGCATTCTGATATCATTGTCTCACACTCCTGTGCGTGGGGGTAAACATTCTGATGCCAATTTTTTATAGGAGATGCCATGAGAAAGGAAGAGGAACTTGGGCCTGGGTTTTGAAGAATATGGATATGCCTGAAGTTTCCCCAGAGAGTTAGGTAAAAGTTCAGCTCCACTGAGGCAAATTAGGAATAAAGTAGATTGACTCGCTGGGCAAGGAATCCAGAAAGTGAAGTTCACACCTTATAAATCAGATTATCTAACTGCATGTTACCATCCATACTCATTTCCCTTTTAATACTTCTGAGTCTTTCATAAAGTTTAGTTTAAATATTAAATATTTAACCCATTTAATGAAATATTCTGTGATCATATTTCAAACTGTGGAATATCCTGATGTAGAAACATGGGAAGATACCCACAATATACTGAAAAGTAAAATAAACACACTGTTGATTCCATTTTTATTAAAAAAAAAAAATACACCCATCTGTATGTATAGATGGTTGTGTATAGTGTAGAGTAACATTTATAAAGCAAATGTATTTCACAGGGCCTACCTTCCAAGACCCTGTAATTTCAGGTATGGCCTAAATTTTTAAAATTGCACATAGAAATGTTAAGCTTACGAAAGACAGGAAACTTTCCCCAGGCTAAAGTCTCTGTTATAGATAAAGAATTGTAACACAGCAAAATTGCAGGCTCAAAGGGCAGATGTCCTTGGTGCAGTTTTTTTTTTTTCTTTAAATTTTTATTTTGTCAATATACAATGTATATGATTATTATGGCCCATCACCGAC